AGAAATGCAGCAATAGTGGCGGCAGCAGTAATAACACAAGTAGTGTTCATACTTCCAGTGTATCATCATTTGGTAGATTTTGTTTTTGTTGTTGTTGTTTTTGTTTTACATATTTTAATGTATTTTGAATATATTGTGTGTCTCACATTGTTTTTGGTTTTATTGTTTTTTGTTTTTAATTATTTTGTTTTTGTTTTTTATTTTGTATTGGTTTTGGCCTAATTTTACTCGTTAGTTCAATGACCATATTTTTGTGGTTATTACTTAAAATTCGTTTTTTTTTATTAATCTACTGTTGTTGTTATTGTTGTTGTTGTTTATTATTGCTTTGTTGTGTGGTATTATTGCTGGTTTTTTTTTTTTCAAACAATATGTAATGGCAATGAGTAAACTTTTACAGTTATTTTTTTTGCATATATTAATTTTGAAATTAATTAATTAAGTGACGCTTCAGTGTCGTATTTTTTTTTTTTTGATTGTGTTATTGATTCATGTCTGTTGTTGTTGTTAGTTGTCCTAATTTTCAAGCAAATAACATTTAATTGTTATATTTTGTAATACAAATTAAACAAATTTGGGGTCTTATATATAAATAGATAACATTTATTTTTAAAAATTTTATAAAGTACTAATAAATACTATTTTTAAATAAATTCAAAACAAAATGTTAAAAAAATAATTTTGTTTTAAAAAAAAAATTTGATTTAATAAAAATATTTAATTAAATAAAAACAACTTATTTCGCAAAAGAAATTAATTCAATCCAAAAGTTTGATTTAATAAATAGATTTAATTTAATAAAACAATTTAATTTAATAAAAAAAATAAATAAGTAATAAAATATTAATAAAAATCCAGTTAAAAAATCTATATATCAGTTAACACTTCGTTCAATACGCGGCACAAATTACTTTGAAAAAGTATATTTATTAAATAAAAAAAAATAATTTTTCATTTTTAAAATACTAAAATAGAATTTTGAAAAATATAAAATATTATTTATTACTTTTTCATTGATAAATCATATTTCGAACACTTCAAAGTGCAAACAAACAAAAACTCATTTTCAATATAAATAGCGCAGCTTAATGTCATTGTAACAATAACAATTTGCTTTATAATAATAATTATATTGAAGGAAAATAGCAACAACAACAAAAACAAAAACAATTTTTAATAAAATCACGTATACGCCAGCATTAATAAAATGCAATAAGAACAATAATTGCAACAACAAAAATACTTGTCCTTGACATCATACAACACAAAGTTTATCGCACATTCGCCTTTTGTGTTTTACTGTATGCTTTTGTACAATATATTTGCAAACAATGTTGTTGTTGTTGTATAGTTGCATTACTGTTGAACGCACAAGCACACACATACACAACTAAATACACATACATATATATGCGCTTATGAATGCATAATTTACTCACTGCAACAGTAGAAGCAGCAGAACAGCAGCAGAGGCGGCAGCGGCAGTACAATAACACCCCCAATAATAATCACAACAGCGACAAAGCAAAAAAAACAAAAGAAAAAAATATACAATAACTTTTTTTCACGTAGTCAGTGCTTTTACATTGTCTGCTTTGGTTTACTTGCAAACTTACAACAGAAAAACATGTACACACACATACATAGATACACATGTATTTCTACTCATTTCCATACAAAAGCAGACAGTCTGACTGATTGACTTACTTAGTACACTTAGTAAATAAAGCTCCTTCGATAAATCTTAATTATTGCCAATGCGCTTAATTGAAATCAAATTCATTAAGCAACTGATGCGTTTAAACGATATGTAAAAATAAAACTTTCCTTCATGTTTATTTGCATAAATTTATTTTATTTTATTTGTAAATAAAATTGATATTACTTTTTACAATATCGAAAAGTACTACAAAAGCGAAAAATTAAAAATAAAAAATACAAAATTATTGAAAACAGGCCAGTCCACGCGGCCATTGAACGCAAGGCGAAATTGCAAACCTCGTGCTACTTACAAAGTCATTGTAATATGCACATATAAAGAACATATATATAAATTAATATACATATAGTTTTTTTTCTTGAATATTTATTTTTCAATAATTTTATTTTATTTGATTTCAATATAACTTCAATGAGTGCACTAATTGTAATATTAAACACGGTATCTCGAACTCGAACCGTTTAACAATGAAATTAACACGTTGCTGTGAAATGACTTGACATTATAATAACAAGCTGTTAAAATAATTATGATATTGTAAAATAACAATAAAATATTAATAGAAATTTTAGAACACACAAATATACATATATCTTTATAAATTTACAACAAATTTTTCAACCTTTGTTTAAATATAAAAATTTTAAATAAAATAAATGAAATTAAAATAACAAACGAAATGTAAATGACATCGTATGGCGTATGAGTTAATGTATATGAAGTTCAAGGTTATAATAATTTTATTTAATATTTATTTGCTTTGTATATTTAAATATTAAAAACAATTAAAATTCTGTGCATGTTTTTAGAATTATTTGCACAAAAACAACAAAGAAAAAAATATGTGCAAATAATATTTTTAAAAACACACTAAGCAAAAATTTCTAAAGCTTTGAATAATATAAGAAACTTAAAAGCTTAAGTGGAGAGCTTTTAAGCAAAGTCAGAAATTCATTTGAACTCTTAAAATAAATTGCATACTCAGTTGTATTTTAAGTGTGTTGAAAAGCTTTATTGCTTACTCTTATATTTTTAATTTATATAAAGAGCATGAAGAGCGTTTGTTTGTGGTGGTTTAAATATTAGTTGTGCTTTTCTTGTATGCAACTTTTAGAATTTGTTAACTCTTAAGTGCAATGTGAGTGAGCAGAAGCTAAGGAAACATTTTTGCTTAACTTTTTCAATTGCAATCGACAATGTTTCTCTTTCTTTGTTAAACAAACATTAAAGCCAAAGTTAATGTTTGTTTATAAAATTTATAATAATAGTTAGTATATATATAATAATTTATATTATTAATTTAATTATGTTTCTTTATAAAAATGTATTCATAAATTGCATCGAAATTCAATTCTTATTTTTTTTCGTTATTTTTACTCATTTTATCTATTTTTACATAATAATTTTGATATAAAAATAAACTTATAAATTTTTTATGCATATTTTATTATATATAATTCATTTTAATAATCAAATTTATTGATATTTTTTGTATTATATATTATATCTTATATTCTGAATTTATATTTATATTAAAATTTAAATATTTTTTATTAATTTATTTTTTATTTTTATTTATTTTTTTTATATAATATTACATATTTATTATAAATATTATCATAAAAAAAATTCAATTTAGAATTTTATTTTTTCGTTGCTTTTATTTATTTTAATTTATTTGTATATTATATTTTTAATATAAAAATAAAACCATATAATTAATTAATTTTATTTAAATAATTCCTTTTAATTCCATTCATATATAACTTAAAATTCTTTAGCAAAAGCTGTCAAGAAGAACAAAAAATTTTACTCTTTTAACACACAACTTCTAACAATTTTTTCTCTTTAGCTATGTTCAACGCTTAAGAAACTCTTCAAAATCAAACTTACAATCAAAATACACTTGCTTTTAGCTCTTATCAAAGTTTAATGCCTTTTGCAAAACTTAATTTTGCCACCATACCACCAAACCCACCACCTCACCCATACAAAACATTTTAAACTTTTGCTTATTCTCTGCTTACTTTTGCGCTCACGCTCACTACCTTTAACTTGACAAAAACAAAAAAAAAGAGAAACGCAAAATACACCACAGCCCCACACCAGACAGCACACCACACTATAGTACAACACACAACACAGCAAAATAAAGCGGCATTTCATACGTTTTTGAAGTTCGTTTACCATTTTATCAGCAACATTTACGTTGTTCTTGTTGTTTTTATTGTTTTTGTTGTTGCTGCTGGTGCTGGCTGTTTTATTCAATTTTTGCTGTGCTGCTTTGCTTAGCTCTGTTGTGTTTGTTGTATTTGTTGTGTTTGTATGTGCGCGCCTTCATTTCAGTATCGTTTTCATGCTACGCTACTACTACCTTTTGGTATATTCGTAACGTGCTTATGATTTTTACAGTTAGTCGCGTTCGAGACCTTGTCGAGTTTTGTCATGTTAGCATTTGACAATTAAATTGTAGCAAAAATAAATATAATATTTTGTATACTACATACAAAGAATATATCAGAGCTAAAGAAATACAAAAATCATAATACTTTAATAGTAGCAAATGACAAGAGCAGCAGTGTAGTGTGTGCAAACCAACAGTTAATATGCAAATATCATAAATTAAAAAAAATATATATTATTTATATTAAATTATTTTATTAATTTTTAAAAATAAAACAAAATAAAAAATAAATTATTTTGTGTTAAAAAAATATTTGCTCTATAAAAATGTCAAATTGTAAATATGAAAATTAGTCGACAAAAATAATTTTTTGTGTATCAAAAAAAAAAAAAAATAAACAAAACAACAATTAAATATTTTGCACTGTCAAAAAAAGTTTATTACTCTATTAATTAATTAACAAAATTATATTATTTAAATACTTGCCAATCGTTACCAAAATTGTGGATTACGCGCTACTTTTCATTCATTTGAAACAGTAGAAAAAATTGGCAGAAATTCAAAAATATAAATAAAAAATAAATTTAATATATATAAAAAATATTATTATAAACAAATGCAAAAGAAAAGTTCCTTTAACAATAAGTAACAATAAGAAAATTGTTTTTAAGGAAAGTTAATTTAATAAATAAACAAAATTAAGAATTACATATAGTACCTGTTGAAAAAGAAAAAAAAAAACTATCAGCTGAGAAAAAATTTTAAACTAAAAATGATTTGAAATTAGTGAAAAAAATATATAAATTTATTATTAATAAATTTCTTATTCATTGTCTGAATTTAAAATATCTACAGTGTTTAAGTTTGTGCCAAAGATTAAAGATAAGCGCACTTAACATAAAATAATTAAAACTACAATAAAAAAAAATATTTTTATGTTTTTGTTATATGTAAATAAAAATCATATACAAAAATGGCAGAGGAATTACCTATATTAAAAGGCATACTTAAGGGAAACGTTAATTATCACAATGCACGTAAGTGTCTGTTCACATATAAATAAATAAGGTTCACTAAAAGAATTTTTATTTTTAATTTAATTATAATACACTAAGAAAAAATAATTATAGTAGCGCAAAAATCAAATTCAATAAAATTAAATTATTTAAATTTTAGATAATAATAAATATAAATGCAATCAAATCCGTCATATGTTGCAAATAATTAATTATAAAATTATAAAATATAGAACTCGATGTTTCATTTTTTAAGAAATTTAAATTGAATGTAGTTTATATAGAAAACGTAACAAAATTAATTATTTAGAGATGAATATAAGAATATATAGAATGACATGGAAAAATTTTTGTGCAAATTAATATAAATTAATTTATTAATTTTTTTTTATTTTTAAAATTTATTATTCAAAATAATTATAAATTTGTAGTTTCAAGTAAAGTTTATTGAAAATTTTTTTTTATTATTATGAATAATTAAAGAAACTAATTATAAAAGAACAAAAATCAGATTATTATTTAATTAATATATAATATATATAAAACAATTCCTTACTTTTTAAATTTATTTATTGTCATCGTTATTATTTTTATAATCAGTATTTAGTCAATTATTAAATTTTTACGTTTTAATATTTGGAAATGCTGCTCTACTTCTATGAGAAATAACGTTACTCATACGACCCGTTAATCATTTATAGGTCAAATCAAATTCCCTTTTCATATAAATATATGATATGATTAAAAATTTATAGAGTAAAATAAAAAATATAATAAGTATATTTTTTTATAAAATATTAAAAAACTATAAAATTTCATTAAAAAAAATTATGGATTTACGCTTAGAGCAATATTTCCAACATATAAATTAAATAAATAACTCAAAACATTTAATAAATTGTCTATGCATATTAATTTGCTACAAAACAAATTTTAAATATATATATAAAATAAATAATATCCAGCAAAATGATTGAAGAGTAAAAGTTTAATCATAAAATAAAAAATAAATTAAATACAAAATACAATTTTTCATGCACATAAAAGAAGACCTAAAATAAATAATTAATAGAATGTTTTTAAAATAATTAACTACCTATATTAATAATTAAGTTTTAGGGACAAAATGACAGTTTTCTTCGATTATTGATTATGTTTATGACTAAAAATTTTATTTCAACTCGAAATGGGTTTAATTAAACATTAATTAAATTATTTGCAGTTAATTTAAATAAATATTTGCAACTAAATTTTTTTGAATTGGGCAATTAAATTTTTTACAATTGTTAAATTCCCGGAGTTATGCATTTATCGTCACGAAATTAATTGCCCTAATTTACACACATTCATATCATTACATACAACTTACTTTTTTCAGGCGAAAATGTCTTCATTCACTCTCCAAACTTCACTCTTGAAATGAGCACAAATTTCACATGCACCAATAAATTCTTTTTCATTCTTTTTTTTTTTACTACTAATTTTTTTTTTCACCAACAACAAATAAACTACTTTTATTTCTGCATACGTTTGGGAGTTAGACATACGTATGTGCACGCTAAATGTATGAATGCTGTCTGTCTGCCTATCTGTCCAACTTTCAATTGTCCATCATAAAAATTAAAAAAATATAAAAATACTTTCAAATTATTTATTATTTCACGTTAGATGCAAAACGCAAATATTTCTACACATAGAAAAAATCAGCCTCAATACTAATGATCATTAACAAAACACAAAAAAAAAACAAAACAAGATACAGAGGATCATACCAATAATAAATAATAAAACACTACTAACTAGTATAACTCTAACAACAACAATACCAAAAACAAAAAAAGAAAAAGAACAACAACAAAACAGAACAAAAATGATAACTCTAACAAACATCATTAGCTTAAAGACATACTTTTTTCACTTATATATTAATTTCTACACTCTTTTCCATAATTTCTTTTATTTCTTACCATTTATAAAGCATTTAAAATAAGTTTTTTTTTTATTTTGCCTATAATCTTTGCAAAGTTTTTGTTTACCTTTTTTGTGTTGTTGCTATCGTTGGTGTTGTTGTTGTTGTTACTATGCAACAGCAAGAGCAACAGCAGCCGCAAAAGCAAATAAAAGCAGCAACAGCAGCAGCATTATTACTTGTGCTGTGCGCCGCCATTGATCGCGACCTCATTTTACGCTACTGTCTGCATTGAAGTGTATGAATAATTTTGTATGTGACTGTGTATGTGTGTGTTTGTAGTATAATTTCATATCACACATGCATGCGCTGAGTTATTGAAAAACGTTTAAACTTGAAATGAAATTTGCGCTTTTTTTTCTTTGTCTTTTTGTTGCATTAGAAAGAAATATATGACTTTTTAATTTTTTTCTTTAATATTTATTATCATCATATTTTGTTTTATTTTATATTGTGATATTGTGACGCCACTGTGACTGACTACATGAGTATGCTTAGCTTGCCAATTGCTAAGTGGCTAGCGAACTTTACAATAATAATAAAAACATATGTTGTCGTCTAGCAATGAGAGACGGCAACTTCTGCTAATATTGCTATTGTAGTTACTGTTGTTATTGTTGTTGGCATTTACTATTTGTTGTCGTTGACCAACTTTCTTAGCTCGACTGGAAAGTATGAAGGCAGCGAGCTGTCATACAAATACTTATGTGGTGCTGTTTTGTTGTCAATTTAACGACGGCTTCAACCATTTGTTGCGTTGCGTTTTTTTGTTTTTGTTTTATGCTTTGTGTTTGTTGCGCGCTCTAATTTCTGTTTATATTTGCAGTAGTTATTGCTATTATATTTTTTTTTCATTTCATTTTGTTTAATTTTATTTCTTTTTATTTACTTACTTATTGTTGTTGTTTTAATTTGTTTAGTAAATTTTTGTGAAAAATTTTCATTTTCATTTGACCTCAATTTCGCTGGTGTTTCTGTGTCAAGACAAGATTTCTTCTGCTATTTTTGCCGCTCCTCTATGAGTTTAATACATAGTGCTGATGTTGTTGTTGTTGGTATGTTTGTTGTTTTTGTTGTGTTTTGTGCCAAGAGTGGGTCAATGTGTTCCTCTCACTTTGGTGAGATGCTTTTACGCTTGCGCACACGTCTTATGTGTTTCACTTTTGTTACAAATTTAGTTTTTTTTTTTGTTGTTGTTGTGTTTTTTGTGTTTTATGTTTAGTTTAGTTTGGTTTGGTTCAGTAAGGTTCGCAATATGTTCGCTTTTCTTGTTGTTGTTGTTGGTGTTATTGTGGAAAAAGTGGGCTATCGCGCACCACATTGGCTGGCATATTAGAGTCGCAGAGAAAAAGTTTGTAATACTTTTTAGTTGGGTTTATTGATGGTAAAAATTGTATTAGAGAAATTGAAAGAAATTTTGTATTTTAGAAATTTTTTTCTATTATTGCTATTAAGAAATACGTATTTTAATTAATTTGATTTAAATGTTTCAAAATTAAAAAAAACAGAAAATTTGTTAAAAAAATTAAATATGTATTATCGTAAGATAGTATGAGAAGGAGTAATAGGATAAATAGTAGTTATTATATTTTGTAATGTAATCTTTTAAAATTTAGTTTTAAAATACACACAATTAATAATTCCAATTTTTATTCATATAATGATTTTCAATCCTATAAAATCATTATTTTAAAAATGTAAAATAATTTTAAAAATAATGGTGCTTAATCATTTGGCTATTCAAATAAACTGTTCTTATACTTATTGTTATGTATTAATTAAAACATATAAATATAAATGTGAAATATATATTATGAAAGCACTAAAATGTGGTGAAACAAAAACCCTGTAGTCCTTTTTTTATAAGATTTCTGTAAGCCTAGATTGTCTAAAAATGTAATGTATAAGAATATGGTGGAACGAAAACGCCATAGTCCTTTTCTTAGAACCTAAAGTCATTTTCTTAACCCACTGAAGTAACTGTCTGAAATCAACAAAAACTGAATTTTTGTAATTAACATCAACAAAAATGTCGTTAATGTTAAAAAATCCTTTAGGACTCTGAGTTTCCAACATTTTAAATTCTTATTTTAAAAAATATTCCATATAAGCAACAAAAAAGTATATAAAATAGGCATTTCAAAAATATTTCTAACAATTTTATGCTCCACTTCTTTGAAAGTAAAAGAAATATGAAAAAAAGAAATTCGTAATTGCCAAATTTCAAAATAAATTTATTAACTGAATTTAAGTGCCACTCGCTAAGCCACAGCTACTAACTCTACTCACCTCAACGCTGTCAAAACAGAGAAGCAAAAAAAAATGTTTCGCTGTCAAACGTACATAAAAAGCATCATTTAAGCCACACTTCAACATTAAACTTTCTTTAAAAAACAAAAAAAATTCATACGCCTTTTTTTTGTATTTGCTTGCAACGAAAAATAAATGAAAGTGAGCAAACATATGCTGCGAGCGTTAATGTTTATAGGTCATGACCTCTTCTTCTATAGTGCTCCTCTTTTTGCTATAACTTTTACTACTTGAAAAAATACAGAAAACAAAAAAAAAAAATAAAAACAAACACTTTTTGATTTTATGATACTTCAAAATCAGGCCAATAATTTTGTTTTTAATAGTTTTTAACAAAATTATGAATTTTTGTTGTTTTTTGTGCTATTAATAATAATAATAATAATGTAATATACAACAAAAAATATGTCAACAAGCCACACTGTCAAATAGTTTTATAATTTTAATTTTAATTTAACAAAATGAAATAAAATAAGTTCAAACGCTGCTACGTCATAAAAGTTGGGCTAAGCTGTTTTTTTTTTCGTTTTTGCCCACTTCATAATGCGAGTATTTGACAAGCCCAAAAAGCCTTTATCATATTCAAGCAGCAGCAACAACAACAACATACACAGCCAGACAGACTATACAGCAGCAGACAAAGCGCTACATAAAAAACGTGACTTTAACAATAAAACGTGATTTGTGATTTGTGGATTTGTGCTTAATGTGAAAGTTCACCCACATAAAATCTTTATTTTGATCAAAAATTTTTTAAATTAATTTTTTTTGTTGTAAATTTATATGTATTTTATGCTTGAAATTGTAACAAAAATATAAAGTTAAAATTAACAAAGATAACAACAACACAATAGTAGCACCAGAGAAAGTATTATAAAGCGAGCAGGCGGCAGTAGAGCTCGTATTTTTACGATATTATACTCGCATTAGACCTAAATTGTTTCTATATTTTTTTTAATATTAAATTTAAATTTATTTTAATAACAACAATTTTATGTTTACAACAAACATAAAAAAATTAAATGAGAATTTAAAATGAACTTAAAGCGGTAATAACTAAAAAATAAAACAACAATGATAACAACGCTACGACTTCAGTAGCCGCCGCAACGACAGCTGAGCAACAAAAAGGCAATGACCTACTTAAAAGGGCTGTGTAACGCAGCAAATTTTATAGCACAACATAAACATAATATTTTATACTGCTAATATTTGTACGGGTTGTATAAATATACGTATGTGTATGTGTGTACGTCACTTTGTTTATTAAATTTTCTTTGTTTATTTTGTGTGTAACAGTTTTTATGTAGACATTTTTGTTTTTTTTTTCTTTTTTGTAAGTTACTGTCGCCGCTTATTGTTATCCTACACGACTTCCTGTGTCATACACACACACATGTAGGCATGTATCTACATTATTTTCGAGACAAATCAACCGCATGCAAACACATACAAACAAATAAAAGAGACAAAGGCTTATGCTTAAGCAATGCTGTTTGTGGGTACACACACTGACACTAAGCAGCAAAAGTGGTTAATAAAAAATGATAAAAAAAAAATATTTGCTTAAATTTATTGCCGCAGTTCATTTTCAGCTTGACTGAGCGGTAATTGTATAAAAATAACTAAGGACTAAACAAATTAAAATGTCCTTCCGCTGTAGTTATATATTTGTAGAGGATTTTTTTTCTGGTAGATATATTTTTTTTGTTTTTTTTTTTAAATATAAAAACTCTTAAAGCTTTTATTAAACTTCACAGACAAAAAAGGGTTAACAGCTGTTACAAGCGAGTATTTATTTTTTTACATTACTAGTTAATAAGAGTAACTAGTGGCAGCTGTATTTTTCTTATTTACATATGAAAATTTTTGTGTATTTATGCATATTTTTATGAATATTTTTTATAAATTATTTCATTTCTTACTTAATCAATTTTACTTAATTACCTTTTTTTTTAATTTACAGCTGTGCGATTTGGACGCGTGCCGAAACGTGAAAAAGCGCGTATTTTGGCTGCTATGCAACAAAGTACACAAAATCGTGGCCAACAACGTGCTTTAGCAACTGAACTAGACGATCAGCCACGCCTACTGGCAGCTGTATTGCGTGCACATTTGGAAACATGCGAGTTTACAAAAGAAAAAGTCGCTGCTATGCGTCAAAGAGCGCGTGAATGTCCTTCATACTCAATGCCAACTTTATTGGTAAGTTTTTTTTTTTGTAAACTCAAATTAAATAAAACATAAATTTTATTTAACTCACTATTTAGCGCAAATAGCGAGTAGTTGTCAATTTGGTTGGTCACTATAGTTTAGCATTTAGTTAATTTTTTTTTTATATTAGATACATTTCCTGCCTTTATCTTTGTGTATTAAACATAATAATTATGTGCTTAAATAAACTTAAATTTCACACTTTAAATGATGACACTAAACAACAATGTTTTTGAAGTTAATTTTTTTAATTTTTTCTATTTTGGTGTGAATGTCAAAATATGCTTAGTCAAGGGCCTCAAGTTCATGTATTTGCCGCTCACAAAAAAAAAATAATTATAATAAAAGCTACAGTAAACTTCAGCTAAGGTTAAATAAAGAGTTTAACATTGTAGTTGATTTTATTTTTTGTATATAAATATATACATGTAAGTAAATATACATACTTATGTAGTTGTGTAGGTCGCGCTCGTATACAATGTTTATAAACAATAAAATGCACGCCTTCTCTCATGCGTATCATTTTATGTTTAACCTCAACATTGAATGACAGACAGACATGAAAACGTAAAATAGATTTTGGCGCGCATTTTTTTTGTTCTTTTTACTTCAATAAAAAAAAATAAGCTTCGTACGAACTGTCAAAATGCCATAGCCACACTCTTTCGCGCACACAGCAGCGAGAGATCAACAAACAGCGAGTGGCCGTAATTAATATTTTAATTTCCGGTTTATGCGAAATGTACAGTACAAAAATTAGAACTTTGCGTAGTTACATGTCATTATTTTTTATATAGCTTAACGCTTAAGCTATTGCAATTAACTCAAATTAACTAAAGAAACTGAATCAATTCCAAGATTTTCAAAATCAATTGAAAAAAATTTTTTTTGCATGTCATTAAGTAATAAATATAAAATTTTATTGCTACCACAAGGTGAACTACTTATAATAACCAGTGATTGAGTTACTGCAAAATAAAACCAATTTTAGACCACTTTTAGACCAAACAGTAAATGGTAATTAAAATTGCCAATTGCCGACTCGTTACTTATTCTAACTTGTTAAAGTTCAGCATAATTGAAAGCAGGAAGTTTTTATAAACAATATTTGTTTTTATTTATTTATATGCAGTGTTGTATTTTATGCTCTTCATTATGCCAATGAAATTTTCTCATGCTCACATTTAAAGCGGAAAACCTTGTTGTCATTCTTGAGGTTATGAGACCAATTTGAAACGTTTATAATCGATAGTTAAATTTATTAAATTTTTTTGCCAAAGGTTTTTTCTTATGAAAATATAACTACACAAAATGCAATAATATTGTTATTTATGACTAAAAAAAAAGAAAAAAACTTAGTAATATTTTTATTGTAAAATAGTTTCTAGGAAATTGTGTATATTTCGTTGAGAAAATTTAACCTTTCATTTGAAAGTTAGTAAAATCGGAAAATAGAAATTAATTTGCAGTGTAATTAAAGAAAGAGGAAAAGAAATGTTTATTTGTAATTAAAATGTTTATATTTATTGAGTAATTAATGTATTTATTTACATTAATGGCTTATTATAAATTTATGATAAACAATACAATGCGGAAATATATTTTGCAAAAGCTGCTAAGACTGCATAATTTAAAATATGCTCAATAATACATAATTTAATCCAAACAACAAAACAATTTAAAATATTTTATATTGTAAAATGTATATTTTATAAAATCACTAAGTTATTGTTAAAATAAAAATACATTAAATCAAATAGGAGTAATCAACTAAAGAAAGCTGTTAGCCCAAACTCAACACGAGTTGAAAATGGTGATAAAAAAGGAAAGAAAATAAAGTATTTTAGGTTAGGTTAGGTAATATAGGATTCCTTAAGGACCCACTTAAGTTTATTGGCAAAGCGAAAAATAAACTTTAAAGGAAAGTCCTCAAATTGTGCGAAATTCTTAAAAAATGGAGGAAAATGCACATCTTGTAATCTCTTATATATTATTAGCTATAGCGCACGTTATTTCATTTCACATTGAAAATAAAAAGTGTAAATACTTAGCACCATACATGTGCCTTGAGATAGTGTTTAAAAAAAAACACATTTTCTATTTTAATTTCGGTACACATTTTGTTTTTAAGTTTTTGCTCTTCATATTCTAACGCCAATAGCAATATTTATAATAAATAACAAAAGAATTCATTGTTGCAAAAATGAAAAATACTTTTGACTCATGCTGTCATAATTTAGACGCCATCGTTTACCTGCTGCTACTTTAGCTGTCAAAATAATGAGTATTTCGTTATACATATATAACTTAATAGAGTCATTTTTAAAAATAATTAGAAATTCACCACGCACATTTAGTTTTTTTTTTTGCTAGCTAAGAAGCTATCCACTGATAACAATACAAAGCTGACACTGTTAGAAATAATGCTGAAAACTATATTACTTATGTTGTGTTAGAAAAAAAAAAAGTATAACCGTTCTTAGACAAGCTACTTCAAGGTCAAATGTAGCGTCATTCTTTCCTTTAAAATTAGCAAATGTTTTTTTTCTATAACAATTGTATAAAATTTCAAACAGTGTGGTGAATTTTATACATAGTATGTTGTATTTTATTTATAAATTTGTTTTTGTGTTTAGTCATTTTAATAAATATTTACTTTTCCCTACATAGTAATTATCAGCACATTTGTGTAAATAATTTAAACAAAAATAGAAAAAAAAATAGGAACAACAACAATAACTACAAAAATTATAAGTAATTAAAATTTTTATTTTTTTTTCTTCAAAAACAAATGTCAAAGTCAAGTACAAGTACAGCCAACAACAACTACAATCAATTTAATTTTAAATTCTTGCTAAGTATGGTGCTAATACTTTTGGTTTTTTATTATCATTTTTTTTCAAATTTATTTTTTTTTTGGCAATTCTGTGGTATCGAATGTCAAGGTTATTATATTTTATTTTATTTGTTAAATCGGCTGAGAATTTCGTTTTTCTTTTTCGTTTCAAATTGTTTTTTTTTTTTGAAAAATACAAACTATAAAAGGAATTTAAAAATTCTTATTTGTTAAAATTTTTTTTTATAATATAAGTGTAGGGTTAAAATAGCATTACACACAACTAAAAGAGTAACACAATTTAAATTATAACAATAAAAATGTATATGCAAAAATTTACGTATGAAATAAATTTTGCACACATGTCTGTCGTCTATAACGTAGAATAAGAATAGCACACAAAGTATATTGTTATGACCTTGTAGCGAGTTATTTTTCAACCTTGAAAATGCAGCAGCAACAAAAAAAAAAGTTAATACTAATAATAAATTAAATAAATAAAAAAATAAAAGGAACACAACAAATAAATAATTGTATTTATAAATTAATGAGAACGAAGATCACATTAAAAATTTGATGCAATTAATTAACAAAAAAAATATTGAAATATTGGTTAATGAAGTACATTTACTTAGCAACACTGATCAATTTTTTACACCATACCAATATTACACAATCAATTTACCTACCACCTACGCACATGTTATTTGCATATTTCACCACATTCCCACCATACACACAAACTTAACTTTTGTTAACAATAACAAAATATTGTGCTTCAGGCCTTAATGCGTCGCAAAGAAGAATTTAATAAATTGATTATTGTTCTTGAATCTACACAAACGTCATAACAGCAAAAGTTGTATATCTTACACGTTGATACATACATTTAGTACATATATGTGTGTATAGAACAAAAAACAAACATACAGTCAGTCATAAAACATACCAACATCGCGCGACCTTGTGAAATACGAGGAAATAATCATTGGGATTTTTTTTTTCTAATTCTAAATTTTCGCTGTTTATAGTAGACATTTTATTTACGTTGTTGCTTTCACAACAATTATTATAATTTTTTTTCTGCTGTTGTTTGTATGCTTGTATGCATACGTGTGCATTTAACAGTAGTACTTGCGCTTTGTTCAAAGTGCTACACATTCATTCTGCATATATAATTAATATACATATAAGGTGATTATTACTAAGTGACGCTATCTTTTAAACTAATAAAGGAAATTCTTTTTTGTTAGTGAGGTTTATTTTGGGTTTTTTAACGGAAAAACATTAATGAGTTAGACTTAAAAGCTATAAACTATACAATTTTATTCATATAATATTATTGTAATAATATAAATATTACATGGAATTTTATTATATACCCAAAAATTGAAAAAAAATCTTTTTATCATTAAATGGAATTATTGATAAGATAATGTCTTTAACTGATTGCCAATGTCAAGAATTTTTTTATATAAAAAAAGTTAATAAAAAATAAAACCGATTTGCAATTTATACCAACATACATACATATGCATACTAATATATTTTGCGCAATTTCAATTAGTTGAATTTATGAAGAAATTTGATTTTATCATTAGAAAAATGTGTTAGTAATAAATAGCAATAATAGCAATAATAATAATAACAATAATATTTTGAAGGTCACTACCACCAAACAAAAACCTGCGAATTATTGTTGTCGCATTTCACTACATGCATGCACACATGCATAGTGATGCCGTCTCTTGTGCTACTGCTGACATTGTGAAATTGAAGAATGGACATGCCAAAACTATTTCCGCTTATGTCGATCAATGTATTTTTTTGGTTATTTTTGTTATTGTATATGTTCTGTGCCCCCTTAACAACTAAACTTGTCATAAAATTTTTAAATCAGCATTAAAAGCTGTTGAAAAAAAACATAACAAGAAGAAGAAGCAGAAGAAGAACATCAACACCATCACTGTTGACAATAACAACAAAACAGCAAAAAGAAGCATGCATACCGGTTAAGCACAGCAAAGACGACGAATAGTTAGTAGTGTAGCCGGCTAGCTTCGTGTTTTTGTACTTGACAGTGGCAATACATAAGTCGTTATAATATACAAAAAAAAAAAAAAGAAAAGAAAACAACAACAAATGAACACACAAAAAGAACGAACTCAGCAACAACAAAACTAATGCTAATAATAAAATACAACTTTTTTTGATTATACAAAAATTTTCAAGGTTAATGTTCGCTACTTATTGCTTACATATAGACACAATTAATACGTACCGACATACCTAAATACATACAATATATAAAACGAACGACAAAACTTAGAACAAAACTAATATTCTATTTTTTTAATTAAATTGAATGCATAGGAGAGCTGCTGTGTGTTTTGTTTTTGTTGTTTACTATAAAAATTAAATAGAGAATTTAATATTAAATAGCGCATGTACACACACAAACACACTGGCACATACGTGAATTTCTACATTTGAAACCGTAATTATAAAAACGAAATTGGTGGGCACGTTCGTTTTGAAATGCGCGTGTGTGTAATTTAAAACCCGGAAAAAGCAGCTCAAATATATTTTAAAAAATCTTACTTGACAACAACAACAGCGCAATATATTAGTTTGCAAAAAAAAAAATAAATAACTGACGTGAATATTTTAAAATAAATTTCAAAGTGCTAAGTTCAGTACTATTAGATCATAAGAAACAAACAAATAAAAAAAAATTAAAAACAGCGAAAAAATATTACGTATGTTTATATTAATGAAATAATTGTTTACAAATTGACGTCATAATGACTTTCACATTACAACTTAGCAATAATACAACAGTACGTATGAGTGTTAATTCTTCATTTCTGTTTTCTAGCCTAAATGCGCAAAATAACAAAACTAATATTATATATAATATGCGGTTTCCTTTATATGTTTAAGTATGCATATGTAATCCGTATTATTTTGTGCCTGTAGTTGTGTCGGTACACATTGTCAACTACTACTGTCTGTCATACCACAAACATTCATCCATCCAGCATATCGCCTACTTGCCACGAAGCCTACTTGTACGAAGTGTAAATGCTATACACTCGTAAAAATACAGTTACCGACTGTGTAACGCCAACGTAGTTCATGCTTGCAAGCGCAAACGAACCTTGAACTCTAGTTCGTCGACCTTGACTATAATGTCAGACCACACACAGCACCACTTACCCTATCTCCGCACTTAGCCTAGCCTAGCACAAACGACAAGCACATGCAACCATTATAAGCAAGCAATATTTTCCACGTTGCCTGTCAGTTGCTGCTGCTGCTGCTGCTGCTGCTGCTGCTGTTTACTACCCTTCCCCTAGCTGCTGCTGCAAACTAACTGTTCATTTTGTGTGGCTGTCAGTGTGTGTGTGTGTACTGTAGTTTTTATCTCTTTCGTTGTAAGTTTTTCTGTATACACTGCTATTTTTTTTCATCATTATTATTACTGATATTTTGCGCTTTATTTTATTTATGTTTTTTTTTGCTTGAGAAAAACTGTTCATCTATTCCGTGTATTGAGTAAAAAGCTTTTCCGCATTCTAAAAGCGTCATTATCAGATTTTATCCATTAGTTCAGAGCCAGTTAGGAAAATACGTATGTATACATATATTTATGTTTATTAGTTTTATATTTTGTTATATTTTATATGCTTTTTGCGCTGTATGTAGTTATTGATTTGAATGTCAGCAATGGCAGAATGTAAAACAAAAAAAAAAATTATTTTCGTACTTTATTGTACTCAGTTGACCTTCGCGTGAACTTTAGCGTCTAAATTTTGTAAACACGCGTTACATTTCATTTTTACATTATTTACACTTTAATTTCCTGCTAGCATGCAAGGTTTTCCGTGTACAAATCTGTGACCTCAAATTAGTACAACTGTTGCTTTATTCTTTCATATACATACATATATATATTCTACAGACATACATTTACAACATAACTATAATAAAATTCCTTTTTTTTTGTTCTCTTTTAGGCTTGTCCGCTTAATCCTGCGCCAGAACTACAATCGGAGCAAGAATTCTCTCAACGTTTCGCACACGTCATACGTGGTGTTATTGACTTTGCCGGCATGATACCCGGCTTCCAATTGCTGACACAGGATGATAAATTCACACTGCTCAAGGCAGGTCTCTTCGATGCTTTGTTCGTGCGTCTCATCTGCATGTTTGATTCATCGATAAATAGCATTATCTGTCTCAATGGACAAGTGATGCGTCGCGATGCTATACAAAATGGTGCCAATGCACGTTTCTTAGTCGATTCCACATTTAATTTTGCAGAACGCATGAATTCCATGAATTTGTCTGATGCTGAAGTTGGCCTTTTCTGTGCCATTGTCTTGATAACACCAGATCGTCCTGGTCTACGTAATATTGAACTCATCGAGAAGATGTATAGCAGGCTGAAAGGTTGCCTACAAACAATCATTAATCAGAATCGCCCAGATCAACCAGATTTCTTGGCCAAACTGTTGGCAACAATGCCAGATTTGCGCACATTAAGCACTTTGCACACCGAGAAATTAGTGGTGTTCCGCACCGAACATAAGGAATTGTTACGCCAGCAAATGTGGACTATGGATGATGATCAACCACCAACTTCGAAAAGTCCAGGCTCAAGTTGGGATGATGGTCGTATGGATGTTGAAGCAAAAAGTCCATTAGGTTCCGTTTCTAGCACTGAGTCTGGTGACTTAGATTATACTACTTCATCGACTACTCCAACAGCACATCATCATCATCATCAGCCTTCCTCGTTGGCTTCATCTGCTCCTTTGTTAGCAGCTACACTCTCTGGTACATGTCCGCTGCGTAATCGCGCCAACTCAGGTTCCTCTGGTGATTCTGGTGCAGATTTAGATATTGTTGGCTCTCATGCACACCTAACACAGAATGGTTTGACAATCACACCTATAGTAAGATCGCATTCCCACCAACAGTTGCATCATCATTTAACTAACGGCACACCACACCGTTATCGTAAACTTGATTCCCCCACAGATTCAGGCATTGAATCAGGCAATGAGAAAAATGAATGTGGCAGTAAAGCTGTGAGTTCAGGTGGTAGTTCATCTTGCTCCAGTCCACGCTCAAGCGTAGATGATGCATTAGACTGCAGTGATACCAATGCAGCAAGCACCAGTCAAGTAACAGTATCCGTATCTCCAGTGCGTTCCCCACAACCACACAATTCAGTGGCACCCACCTCTACTTCGGCTGCATCTACAACAGCGAACTCGGCTAGTACGCTCAAACGTCAAATCGTTGAGGATATGCCAGTACTCAAGAGAGTACTACAAGCACCACCACTTTATGATACAAATTCCTTAATGGATGAGGCATATAAGCCACATAAGAAATTCCGCGCTTTGCGCCATCGTGAATATGAAACAGCTGAAGCTGATGCTAGCTCCACATCAAACAATAATAACAGCAGCAGCAATATTGCTACCACAACGATAAATGCACCTGCTGGCAGCCCAGTGCAAAGCTCACAAGCCGCATCCACCAGTCCGTCACCAGTCGCTTCAAATACCGCAGCCATAGTTGTGGCACAGGCAACAGCATCACCAAATGCCGCTTCTACATCACCTCATCCACCTACTGCTTATGCTGCGCATCAGCAACCGCATCACCAAAGCCAATTGCACATGCATTTGACACGTCCAACACCCACCAATAATAACAGCAATCAACACCAACAGTCCTCCTCTTCGCTATCTAGCACTCATTCCGTGCTAGCAAAATCGCTGATGGCCGAACCACGTATGACACCCGAACAAATGAAACGTTCCGATATCATTCAAAATTACATTATGCGCGATCCAATGCCTACTTCTTCGACCACAAATGGTTTACTCGTTTGTACACCCAACGGTCCGGGTAGTCGCAGTCCAGCACCATCGCAGCATATGTCTATGCCACATGCACATCATATATATGGTGTATCCAGTGGTTCACCCGCATCAAGCAGCTCCAATGGCTCAAATTGTGCATCACCTTCAACCACCACTGTAACATTAGCTTCACCACCACCACCTAATGCTGGTGCTGGTGCAGCGGTAGGACGTTGGCCTGGCCATTCTGTTATAACAACGACGAGCATCAATCAACGCCAACAATCGGTGTCACCCAGTAGCAATGGCTCATCATCATCTTCTTCCTCATCGTCGTCGAGCGGCTGTCAGTATTTCCAATCACCACACTCCACCTCAGCCTCTGTCTCGCCACCACGTCCCTCACCAAGTGCTATGCACTCTCCACCACGTCTACTTGAGTTACAAGTAGATATTGCTGATTCACAACAACCGCTGAATTTGTCCAAGAAATCACCAACTCCACCGCCCAGTAAGTTACAGGCTTTAGTAGCAGCCGCTACAGCAGTGCAACGCTATCCAACAGTATCAGCAGATGTGACCGTAACAGCAACAAATGCGCCACCTACAGCGCAGTCCGCTACAGCACCAGCGAGCAGCACGTTGCAGGTGCAAGTACATAAGGTGAAAATGGAGGCGTAAGTGAAATGTTAAGCAAAGAATGTGACAAGCTTGAATTTTGAATTTTTCTTCTTCTTAATTTGAGTGTCAAAATTTTTTCATATAACAAGTAACTGAAATGAATGCAGCACAGCTGATGTTGACAATTGTCTAATAGAGTTGCCAAGCACAAACTCCGGCACTTACTAAAAATTTATTGTGGCAACACTGCGCATTTCAGTTTGACAATTTATGTAAAACAAATACAAAAACAAAAACTAGTGTTTTAAGCTAGGAGAAAGTATATAAAGCGCGAGACTGAAAATGAAAACTTTTTAATATTTAATTAAAAATAATTAAGAAATTGTATGAAAAAGAAAAAAATTTAACACATTTCAGTAAATGCATTAAAAATTGAGAGCAGCATTAAAATAAATAATTAATAATAATTGATTTAAAAGAAAAAATGATAGTGAGATGAAATAAAACACAATTTTGCTAATATAAAAATACAGAGGTGGGCAAATCAGAAATTATTTTAAAAATAATTTTGAATTTTTTTTTTTTTGCTATTCCATAACATAAAAATACTTTTGTTTAAATTAATATATAAAAGTATTTAAATTATTTTGATAAAAAGAAATAGCAAAAAATTATACAAACTAAAAATTGCATGCAATTTATTTATTTAAAAAAAATGACATTTAAAATTTTTAACTTGAAAGTGAGAAATTAATTATTTTTAAATTAAAGTATGAAATTAATTATTTCAGCTTACATTGAAAATATTGATTGTAGACAGAAAACAAAAACAAAGCAATATTAAAAAAATATGTAGAAGAAAAACAGATATGATATATTAAATATATGATATATATTATTTTTACAAAAAAAAAAATAAAATACATTTTCTCAATATATAAATTTGTATGACGTCACGCTATGGAAAACATTGCGAGCCAAATTAAAAAATTTGCTTACAAATTTTTTTTATGTGTGTACGCTACTGAAAAGTGTTGAATTTTATTAAATGTTTGTTTTTTATTTAATTATTTAATATTATTTTCTCTTAATTGTTAAGTTTGTGTAAATATTTCACCGCTTTACTGTTCGTCTAAGTAGAATATAAAATATTTTTAATTTAAGAGCAACAAAGCAACTACTTTTATTTTTGCATGTTTCGAAAACTGCTGTAAGTGCAAAGTAAGTTAATTAATTAATTAATTAATTTTTATTGAAATGAAATTACTGAAATTATATTTTATAATATTTATTTAAGTTTGTTTTTAATTGTAAGTGTAAAATTGTTTTTCTTTTCCAAATTGTTTACCTTTAAAGTTAAGTTAAAAGCGCGATCTCTAAGAGCAGATTTTTTTAAATAAAAATTAATACAAAAAGATTTAAATTATTTATAAAAAAATTTATTACAAAGTATAAAATTATTACAAAATTGTTATTATTTCTGTATTATTAATATAATGAAATTTTTTTACTTTGGCACAAAACTGAGTTGAAAAAAAACACATTAAACAAAAACAAAAAATAAATCACCAAATTTAAAAAAAAAAACAAATTATTTTTCGTAAAAATAATTTGCTGTTGTTTTCTAATTTTAAAGAAAAAATAAAAATTATTTATAAAATTTATTTTTTTAATTTATGTAAATAGTTGTTTATTTTAAAATAATTACTTTTAAGCTTGAAATGTTTTGTTTATTTTTACATTAACTTTAAATGTTTATAGTCTTTAAAAACTTTATTATAAATATTATTATTATTGTCATTAAATAAAATATAAAAAAAATTAATAAATATGTTTATTATTATAGACAAAAATTATATAAAAATTTGCAGAAAATTTAAGGAAAAATTTAAATTATGTATTGCTATTAATTATTATTAAAACTATGATTAATTATAATTATTATATTCTGTATCATTATTATTATTATTAAAATTATTATTATTATTAAATTTTCAAACTATTATTAAATAATTAATTAGTTATAAGCAACTACAACAAATTTAAAATACAAAAATTACACAAAAAAAAACAACAAAATCAAACAAACAAAAAACCCTGAAAAAATTTATCCTACCAATAAAAATTTTTGTTTAAAAATTTTATTTAAAAAAAAATTGTTTTTTTATTTTAAAATTATGTTTCTTCTGCTTTTTGTTTAGTTTATCTTTGCTGGAAGCTGTTATTTCGTTTCGTTTCATTTATGTGTTTCTTTCTCAGTTTGTTGTACTGCAGTTAAAGGGTTTTTAAAGCCCGTGTGAAACGTTTATTTTACTTCGTATTGGATTTTTGTTTAATTTGTACTTGTTTACTTAAGTTTTGCATTTTTTTTTATATCTGGATGTTTCTTCATTCTTACGCTGTGCAATATTATGATTTATTTTGAGTAGAAATGAAATATGTATCATACTTTTAAGAGATGCATTGGAAATGGTAACAGAAGTTGATTAAACTCATCGAATATTAAAAGGAAACTGTAAGGAAATTAAACTAAATATGGTGATTTATATATCAATGGCAAATTTTGTTATATCATATTTAAGGATTTACTGATAATAGTAATATAAGTTCTGAAATAGACCCATTATGTAAAAAGAAGCAGTAAATTATTATGAAAATATGGAGCAGTAAAAATTAAAATGAAAGTAATAGAAAGTGTTTTGAAACTTTCTATTTTGCGAGATAGAATGTTGATATAATAGTTGAAAGTTTATTAAGAATTCCAAATCGTACCGAATTAGGACATCCTGGAAGCTTAATTGGCGATAATCTGATTTATAATGCAATTGTTTAAGCTCATGTTTTTTAAGATATAATAGTAAAAATTGGGTTATGTTGGAACAGTGAACCAGCACACCAAAGTCCACTTGTGTACAAATAATAAGCCGCTGTGATACCACAGATAAGACTTTAATTCACATGGCAGAGTAATGATCCACTTAGGCAAACAGTTATAGAGATCAAAATTGAAGAAAACAGGCACAAATCTCCCATTTTAGTAAAAGTGAACCAAAGTGATAGGTCTATAAAATAGTGATAGTAATTTTCAGCTATTTTATTTAAGATCAGAACTTGTCTTCAATAAATAGTACTCAGATAAATTCTATAATTTGCTAAAAAGATCAGAATTTATGATTAAATATCTTGTCATTGTAATTCTTTATGTGAAATGCTTAAGCTTCGTTCCATCTTCCAGAGTTCCAAGCATACAAATTGATCATAGAGTAACGATAGCATAAATAATTCTTATATAAATTTGCATTATAAAATTAGAGAACGTATTACTACTAAATTATAATTTCTACTCAAATGTATTTATAAAATTAACTTTTCCATTTAAATTTTTTTTTAGCTTAATTTTTTTTTTTAAATAATTAAAAAACCTAAAGAAAACTGAAGGCTTTTTACAATATGCTTTTTTGTATGAGATATAATGATCATAATTCAGTGTATATAGTATTTTAAATAATAAATATTGACTACGCATCTTCAATAAAATAATACAAATTTACAACACACAAAGACGGAATTAATTTTTATTTTTAAATATTCAAATATACACATATAATAAATAAAATACTTCAATCAGCCCCATCAAAAGAGTCCGCATGTATATCTAAGTACTTGAAAAAAAAAAATTTAAATTGAATATATAAATAAAATAATGACAAAATAAATTTGCGATGATTTCTAAATATCTTATTTATTATACATTTAAACAAAAACATAATATTTATAAAATTATATATATGTATCTATAACAGAAGAATTCGATATTAATTGATTTTATTACAGAGAATAGATTATCTGTGCGTTTTTAAAGTAGCGATTTGTAGTTGTGAAAATGAATTTGTAAAATAAAATAAAATTTTAAAATAATTTACAATTAAAATAAAATATTGATATAAATAAATAATTAAATGAATATAAGTATTACTTGAAAATAATAATTTATTTACATAAAAAAAAATAATATTAAAAACATTGTACTTCTAAATGCAAGCATACAAAAATATTTGCTGTAAAACATTAAAATGTTGTAAAAATTTAATGTAACAAAAATAAGGAAATTAATGAAAAAATAAAATAATTTTAAAAATTACAATATATGATGTATAAAATTTAATTATTAACTATGCACAAAACATATGTAAAAACACTTTAAAAGTATTAAATTTTAATGATTAATAATTAAATATTTTTCAATTGCTTCAAATTAAGAAAACCAAACAAAAATATTTCCAAAGAATAAACCTATAATACTTAATATAATATATATTTAAAAAAAATGATCAGAAATAATAATAAATAAAAAAATCAAGTAAACTGAAAAAAAAAATTAAAATAATAAAATAATATATAATAATGTAATATTAAATAATGTAAAATAAAATAAATAAAATGCAATAAAATAACATAAAATTGTGCTAAATATATAAAATAAAATGAAATACAATGAAATTATATAAAATACAATAAAATATAAAAAAAATATAAAAAATGAAATGTTTTATAAAACAAAAAAAAAAACATATATAAAAATATTAAAAAATTAAAAAACTAAATTAAATAAAAATATTATAAAATATAATAAATTAAATTAAAAAAATAAAGTGAGATAAAAAAAAACAAAGTAATTTTGATTGATATAAAGTAAAACAAAATATAAAAATAAAATGATATAATATAAAATAAAATATTCTATTTGAATATTAAAATATTATTAATATTAATTATTATTATTATTAAAATATATTAAATAAAATATTTTATATTTTATTTTATTCTAACTATTATATCGTTTTGTTTTATATTTATTACTGTATTTCTGTATTTCATTTTTATTCTGTTTACTGTATTTCATTTTACTTTAATGCATTTCATTCCATTTTATGTCATAACTTGTAATAAAAAAATAATAGAATAAAAGAAATTAAATGAAATAATAATAAATATAAAATGAAGTAACAAAATAAATAAAAATAGCATAATACTATAAAATAATAAATATAAGCAATAATAATAATAGATAAGATAATAAATAAAATAAAAATACAATAAAATGTAAAAGAAAAATAAATTAAAATGAAATGAATTAATAGGATTCAAAATATAAAAAGTAAAATAAATTAAAATGAAATTACATACAATAAGGATAAATAAAATAATACGAAAAAGATCAAACTAAATGAAGATAAAATAAATTGAAAAATAAAAATTAAAAGAAAATAAATTGAAATAAATATATAAAAGCAAATAAAAAAAATTAAAAATAAAATGAAATTTGAATTTGAAACAAGTATAGAAAATAAGAAAATATATTCTTTTAAAAAGTATTAAAATATATTATTAAATTAAAAAGCATTA